TGCAAGGACTCGTCCAAGCAGTCACTGCAGAGTCGGTAACGACTGAGCGCAGATAAAAATATATACCTGTAGTATGTAAAAGTAGCAAACCACCTGTTGGAAAAATAGATGATGCACTTGAGGGGAGAGAGAAGGCTTTCCCTGCATATATTTGATCTGGCCACCCATCCCCAGAACTAGAAGGCCAATCTAGCTGATCTTGCTGTAATCCTCTCAATGCCACAGTTCAGGGTTTTTGCTTTTTGTTTTAATCTATGGATGGTGTAGCAACATCTGCATCTACCTGAGAAAAAGTAAAAGGAAAGTCCATTGCAATTCCTGCTCCTGATCACCCCAAACCCAAAGACTTGCTTGCATCTTTCAAATACCTCCTAGATTATCCCAACATGCAGTATACAGTATTGGCAATTCTTTTATAGGCAGAACCAAGGTTAACAGTCAATAGTTTGTCTCCTATGGGCAGAAAAGTGGAATGTAAATATGAATTACAAACACAGTCATTCAAGTGCATTTTATCAGAGACTTCTGGTAATGTGATCCAGGCTATATCAGTTTTAGAAGTCCAGCTGGACTTATTTCTGTAGAAAGTTGTTCAGTGAGAGGGTGCAACTGGCTTCCTTTTGCAGGCTCTTTAATCTTTCCTGCAGTGGCAAAGCAGAGTTTTAACGTGCCTGTCAGGCTTAGTGCTCTGCTGATGAGGCGTCTCTGATGGGGGGGGGGGGTCTTTCTTGACCAGAGGACGCACCTAAATGAAATAAAACTAAAATCAAGGAGTCCTGCTCCCCACAGAAGCAACTTGGCGCCTGCATTGCCACTTGGTGAGCGGAAGAAGTAGATTATTAGGAGAGACAAATAACACCGGACCGGGGGCGGGGAGCCCAATTCAAATCAGGGCTCGCTGCTGTGGCCTGAATCGCGCAGGATAGGGCGTCTGCTGAACCGCACCAGCAAAGCTGTGCTCCCAGGCGAGAGGAACAATCGAAGATTTATTTTCCCTTCTCTCGGCCTCGCCGTGGCGGAGTGGAGCCTTTCCTTGCCCGCCGTGGATGGATGCTTGTGTCCAGAGCAGAAGCCAGCGTGTAGGCTGGTAGAGGGACTGGACGCTTCCTCTGCCAAGGGGAAGGACGGGAGGACGGAGGCAGCGCCACTCAGGAGCCGCGGGGCGCGCAAGCGGGGAGAGCGCGCAAGGAGAGTTGGCTGGCGCCCGGCCGGCGCCGAGCGGGGAGGCAGCCCGTTTTTTTCTCCCTCGGACGGCCGCAGCATTTGCAACGACAACTCCGGGAAAAGTCTCGGCTATGACGACGTCCGTAGGTAGGAGTTACGTTTCAGATCGAAAGAAAGGAAAAGAAACTAGGCAGCTTCTGCTGTTCCTGAATGGCGCATCAGGGCAAAGAAAGTTTAAATGGGGCGGAGATAAGCAACAAAGCCATGTACTGTAAGCAGTTTAACCTGGGGGTGGGGGACGTACTACTGTACTACCATTCCATGTGGGAGAGGAGAGAGTGGTGGGGAGGGGAACGCAGTCGGTTGTGCGTGATGGCTGGCAGTGCAGCAGGAGGAAAAGTTCCTGCTTGGTTGGTAGTAAGCTCTATGCCAAGGAAGCGTACCCCTTGTATGCCGATTTTGGAGAGACCGGCGTTTTCGTCCTTGGAAAGAAGGAGGCCGATTGAAATAAATTAATTACAAGATAGTTGATAAACACGTACACTTACACACGCAGTAATAAACTGTAGAAAAATGTTTCTCCATTCGGTATCTCTCCTAGCACAAAATTACGGACTTTTAGTTATGTAGAATTTTCAGTGATGACTAATGTTTTTGGAATGTGGTGACTTCTGATGTAATTTTCCCAGAGCAAGCATGACTGTCCCTAAGGGCAAAAAAAAAAAAAAACCATTCTCAAATTAATTAAAAAGTGTTAAGAAATTGGTTTTAAGTTTCTGCAGAGAGAAAGAGAAAAATCCAAGGTCCTTAGCTATCTTGAAACAGCAGATTTTTCAAATAAGAAATAGATGTTATAAAATACCAGACAAACCGTAGGTTGCAATTCTACATATAGCAGTGAACGCCTTTAAAATTACTAGAGTTTTCAAATACAGAGTTTCATTAAATTTACTTTTAGAAAAGATGCTGAGCAATCTGATTTCAAGAAAATGTAATAAACTATTAAATCTTATTTGGATTTCCCCCCCCCCGAACAATCTGTATTGTGTAGCTTATTTTTCATTTTCAAAATAACAATTAAAAAGAAGGTAGCATGTTGATACTATTTAGACTTACACGTCAGACATCAAATCACTCTATTTTGCAGTGGAATACTAGTAGTAAATGCATGTAAAAGATAAATGCATGCTTAATTAACAGTTTAAGATTGGTATAGCTAAACTTGTTAATTTTGACTAAATTGTGCTCAGCGTTACTCGCTGTTTCATGTCATGCAGGTAATAAAGATATGGAAAATCCATTTTGATCAAAGCCCCATCCTATTACTGCTCTGCATTTTCCTGGTTCAGACATACTAGATTCATTTATTCTTCATGTTGTGGAGAAGGATGTTTTCTACCTGTCATTTGTAAAGCAAGCACAACTTTATTACACAGTAAGAAGATGGCAAGGCAGTACTGGACTAATGAAACATTGCGTTGGACAATAAGTTTACTATTAAAAAAATATAATGTGCTTTTATGGATCTCTGGATTTATATGGCTATAATTTATTTCTTTAAAGAAATGAATACTGTAATACTGGTTGGCCATAAATAGATTATTTTATGACATTTTTATAGACCTGTTGGCAGTTATGTTAAAAGGGATTTTCAAATTCCATGGATGACCCTCATTTCATATTCTGTTCAGGGATCCAGAATCTGGTTGGCTTCCTTTAGAATTAAGATACTGGACTAGTGAACTCTTAGTCCAATATAGCAGGGCTTTTCTTATGTTCTTGATATTCAAAGTTAACTTGAACATTCAGTGACATGGCATCTCATGATTCTTAGTTGTTTTCAGACACTTCAGTATGTCAGAAGTCTTGAAAGAACCTTTTTTCCCAAATGTTTTTAAGTTGGTACTGTAGTAAGAAAGGATCACTGCTTGCCTTATTTTAATCTCTGCTTAAGTACAAGGTAACTTTGCTTCCTTTAAAAAAAGGGGAGTTCTCATGTCTTTTGTTCAGACTACAAAGTGGCAGTTGTATGGATTCTCTTGAATAAAAACCTGAAACGTAAATGGGCCTGCTGACGTCCCATTATGGGTGAAGTGTGTTGGGAGGTGCCTTGCCCACCAACTGCATTCCAAGGGCCGCAGCAGGGCCTCTCTGAAACCAGCAGTAGCATATTTACAACCCTTTTTCATACATGCTGAGACTCGCATATCTGATTGTTTATGCTTATCTTCTATAGAAGATCTTTCCTGAAAGTAAAAGCAAAAGAAATGTAAAGGGAATGAATAATTCAAATTCAGTTAAATCCACTTAGGTGATGCTTAAGACTTTTTATGCTTTGACAAGATCTTAATCTGAATATTTACCAGTTAAGATGTATTAAGCGCCTTTGCAACAGGGATTTCTGCAAATGATTATGGTTACTTCTGATGTAAACAAGTGCAGTTCTTAGAATTACTTACTATAGGATGGCATCTGCTTTGAAATCTGTTTCAGATATTCGCTTATACAAATGGGAGTTAAGGTTTGGATGTAGCTACTCCCACAAAATGTTTCTTATATAGTAACCTCAACATTAAGAATGACTCTGAATAGACGAATTACCAATCACAGATCTCCCCCACAGGAAGGAGGTTTACTAAGCTATGTTTTAGTAAGTGTATTTATTAAAATGTTGATAATTTTAAAATAGTTTTTCATCATGAAGAAGACTTTATCTGTGTCTGGGAATTTGTTGGATATGATTATGTGCTTGAGGTTTTTCCTGAAAATTGAAATAACACAAAGGTGAATGGGTTTACAATAGCAACCATAATGCAAACATTTATAACAAAGTTATAGGGACTAAACTGTATCAGTTCATTTTCTTCTAATGAAAGGTGAATGGGTTCACTTTTCATTAGAAGAAAATGAACTGATACAGTTTAGTCCCTATAACTTTGTTACAAACGTTTGCATTATGGTTGCTATTGTGGTACACCAAAGTCTCCAGGGCACCTCTCTTGGTACTGGTGGGTTCCTGTTTCACCTGATTTTTTGTTTGTTTTTTGGTTACGGGACTGGCTACAGCTCCATGGCAGCCATTTTATGAATGGGCAAGCACCCATCCACCCCCATTTGCAGTCAGAATTTCAAATGTATCTGCCAGCCCCCTCAGAAGGATAAGCTGTCTGGCATCCTAGTAAAAAAAATAAGTTGCGGATGTCTAGTTTAGATACCAGTTACAACATTATCTCTTAAAATCAGTACCCTTCCCATCTGTTCTTACTGAAATTGCTGACATAATGGCCCAGTTTGATTGCGTGTAGGCTTAATACATCTGGATATGAATAAGTACTATGCATCCTTTTGTTCTGCTCCTGTCTTCAGGTGAGCAGTGAAGTTCACAAGAAGTTGCTGTTATATATAGACTGGACTGCAGAAGTCCATACTGTCCCCAGATGGCAGCAACAAATTAGACTTTTCTATTTCTTTCTTGCCAACTTTTGAAGCTCTAAGGCTTGTTCGGAAGCCCTTAACCTTTGTTACGGCTTGGTTGTAATGGAAAGTTACCAGTTTGTATTTACTCACATTAAGGGAGAAAAAAAGAGTTGAAGCTTAACTTGTTTATCCTGGCTTAAATCAACAACATAATATTTCATTTCCTGTCTCTGATGCCAATAAAAATGTTTTTTTAACAAGATACTATCCAGGTCATTGTGATATTTATTTTTTAATCAATTCAAATAGCTCCATTTTTATTTATTTTTTATGAGCACCTTGCTTCTGCTAAACTGAACTCTGACATAAGCTTTATTACCACTTACTCCTTCCCTTTTCTTTATTCTGACTGATGCTACTGGTGAGAAGTTTGCAAGTTGTTACCATCCAGGCATTTTCTGCCCTATGATCCATAGGCATGTAATTCTTTGGGAGCCTCCTATTGCTGCTGTCCCAGCTGGTTCTGATGTTCTAGATGGTTTATGGGCACCACGCTCCATGCTGTCAAAGACTTTCAAGTCTCGTTGGCAAAAATTGAGCATATATAGTCAAGGTACTTAATTTATAGAGAGGGGAAAGGATGTCAAAGACAGCTTGGGGACAAAAGGGAGAATGGCAACTTTGACTGCTGGGTCACCTTCTATTACAGAGTAAGAGTTTCTTTATCAGAATCACAATGTATAGAGAGAGGTTCCTTCCTGTCACGAACATTTGATTTGAGGGCCAGCTGAAATTTTAATCTTTAGATTAAAGCCAAAGAATTGTCTAACAAGTCATGATGCAGTTATTCTGTCAAAGAAGGATTGGATCTGTGAAGTAGGAAAATACCTGAGGCAGCTAAGAAACAACTGGCCTTGTAGGAGAAATGAAGATACAGTAGGGACTTGAAGAGTGTTCCAGTATTAACTTAGAGCAATTTCATATTGCCTTGAGAATTAGATACTCAAACTCTCTTGTTTCCATTTGAAAATCACCACTGCCAAAAAAGTAAAATGCAAAAATAAGGCAGCTGAAATGATTGGACTCTACATAGGCTTGGGACTTAGAGTGTATAGCTAGAGGGAAATAAGTGAAAAAACCATTTTTTGACACTCAAAACCTTTAGGTTCACTGGGTGCTTCTTTTTGTTGTTCCTTAATGGCCAGGCTTTATGTTGAGCAGCATTTAGATTTAGTACTAGGTGGAAATGGGTCCCTAATTTAAATAAATACTGCTTTGGAGTGACTCACTACCTGTGTTAAAATATTCCAAAAACCAGCAGTTGCTCATTAATGCATACATACATACACATATATGTAATTTATTTCAGCCATTTCCCATGCTGCCCTTCAGAGTGCCTTTATAAATGAATTCAAATGCATAATTAGAGGCACAACAAGTATAACAACCCAAAGTGACAAACAAAACAGAAAATTGTAGTCCTTTTATTGCAGTTAGGGTGCACATTAGTGGGAGTAATTGTACAATTTCAGGACAAGGAATTCTCAAATGAAGAACTAGTTCAGACAGATCCGTCTGACCAACAGCTAAATGTAAACATGAAATCAAGGATTATAGGAAATACAAACTGGAGCCAGATCTTCCAGATGGCACATAGGGTAAATTGACCTATGCAGTTCTGGCTCACGAAACAACTATTTTGGACTATAGCACAATTTGTAATCTCCTTT